TTTTTTGGGGGTGTGTTTAAGAATTTTACTGTTGGGCTCAAATTAAGTACAGTACTACCTATAGTACCATTTCCATAGCAATTTAGTAACGGTGGATGGAGTGGGATGTTAGATTGTACTACTATAAAATTTTTCATGCTCTTTGATGGAATGGTTTTATTTATTTTTTCACTTTGGGATGTTCGAGTCTTGAAATGTCGAAGTGCAATTATTAGTTTCTAAAAGTGTGTGTTGCATTGCGTTGTGGGAAAGATTTAATTTAATGTTGCTTGCGTAAAAACAACCAATATAATGCAGCTTTTGTAGCACTATGTATTATTTGGCACAAATGAACATTTGCTTGCTCATATTATTATTAACAAACACGCATCATAATCTTTTTGTTTCCAATTTGCATCACCAAAAGACAGGTCCTAGACCCATGTTTCAACAACCAATCTATTTTGGTAATTATATGTTCACCGAGTTTTTTTCCATTACATTTACATATCTGTGATGAAACGCCAAATTTGGCTCAATCCAAATTCACCAAATTAGGCCCCTTCTATGACACGTCCACCTTGATTCTGGAAGGCACCTAGTACTTCCCTCAGGTGACTGTTAGACTTTCTTCTGATTGGGTTGAAATGGTAACAAACAAGTGCCTAACACACTCGTCCACGCAGCAACATTACCAAAAACTGATTAACTGGAAAGAACAAGAAATAAGTGTCGTAAAATTTTAAAAATAAAAAATTGTTCTGCATACAGGTCCATTATTTGCTTTGTTTCTCAAGCCTTGGCTGCCGTAATCTCTATCAAGGAAGTCCATGTTCCGAAGATAGCAAATGCTGAACCCAGTGCTACAATTGCCACGTCCAGAGCCAAACCCCGCCACCCCAATTCTTCTTTGTGCACGATCAAGTGAAACAAAGCCGGCAAAACAAAACCCAGAACGATGCATACACTGCTCCCAACTAGAGACAAGAAATCAGCAAAATTTGGCACCAGGAGAGCCACCAACGTCACTCCCAAAACCGTAACCCATCTCATCCACAAGCAATACCTGGCTTCACAGAATCTCCTCTCCGCCACCTCATAAACAGGGTTCATCATCAGTGGGAAAGTAAGGAATAGGTTAATGCACAAACCCAACTGAACAAGGCAGCTCAATAGTCCCTGCCCAAAATTGGTCGTGATTATATCTTTGGTCTCTTCTCCGAAAGCAAAATACCCCAAAACCCCAAATCCTCCAAACATTAAGGAGATGAAAGCCATTGCCCAACCCAGGATTCTCCCAAACTGTTGCTTCTCCTTCGTCTCTGACTCCAGCGGTAATACCATTCCGATCCCTTCAAAAGCATAAACTGCCACCCCAAGCCCATAAAAGAACACATTGAACCCGCCAAAGGCTTCCAAGGCAGGCCTGTTTCTAAGAAAAATCATAACATCTTCGACCATCACTACCCCCATGGCGCCCATATCAACTAAGTCAGCAAATATGCTCAAGGGGGCCAGATGGGTCAGCGTGGGAATTGAGTTCAACCCCAGTTGGAACGGAAAACAGCTCCATATGTACACAGACTTGGGCGCAAAAATTCCCAAGATCTTAGGGTTTGGGTTAGTGGGAGCGTAATTGAATATATAAGCTAAAGTATTGGCTATAAATATCAAGTAACTTACGCAGAAACCAGCTTGAGAAAGAACAATCATAGCATCGACGGCAAACCTGCCGACAGGACCACACACAACAAATCCAAGATCACCAAAAGATGAGATCTTTGGAGACTTAAGACCGGATTCAAGTTTTCTGCGCGTGTGGACTAAGAGCATCATACAGTGGTAGGTGAGGAAGGCTACCGATGAGAGCATAAGGATGCCCATCGCCCACCCTGTTCTCTTGAATGTGTAGGGTAGGCCCAGGACACCTGCTCCCACTATAGCTATGAAGACATTAGCAAAAGTCTTGCTCCGGGAAGAGAGATGATGGCCATTAGTGGCGACTAGGGGAGTATCTTCCCTAGGAACGTTCAGGACATACGAGGATGAGCTTGCTTCATCTTTCTCGAATCCCATAACAAATTTTTTTTTCTTAATTCAAGAATTTATGCTATGAATGATTTGAGTATGTGCACCAAGAAAGGAGAAAATATAGAAGACGAACCCAAGAAGAAGAAGAAAAGGAGGCGCAATTGCAATCTGCAGATGGGAGGCGGGAGAGAGAATTTGGTACGCTCTTATCTTTGACGGAGCACCGATAAAATATTTCTGCTTTTGACTTTTACGGAAAGGTTTGTTCCTGGTTGGGAATCCTACGTCGCTATAATGAGTTCTTCGTGTTTTTGGCTTCATTTGGTTAGGGGGGACTCTGCTGTTACCGACGAGAAACAACACATATAATTAGTTCCCTTTTTTCAAAATTGTTTATTGAATTTCAATAGGTGCTTCATATGGAAGTCAATTGGCCCTATGGGATTATATGATACAGTGTCCCGGTTAGTGTATTCGGCAAGGCCACAGTTAACCTTTTTAGTGCTATCATGGTGATCATTTCTTGATCATGTTAAGTACTGTCTTCTATAATAAGTCACTCGCGTCTTTTTTTCAAAGTGGTCAACTACCTTCTTCTATCCTATATATATATACTAGGTAAGCTATCCCGCGCAATGCGCGGGCGCCAGGTTGGTGTATTTAAAAATTGATGGATTATTTGATGTGTTAGTATGTTTTTGGGATTTTTTCAGAAACTTTGTTTATAGGATATGGTTCTTTTAGCATTATCCTAATTTTTCTTTTTTTTGAGTTTTTTGTGCATAATTCAGTATTTTTTATGTGTTTTTTTTTATTTTGAATTTTGTTCAATGTTCGGATAGTATTTGTATTTTTTATATTATATGATATGATGGTGGGATTTGTTTTTTGGTATTTATATGTGTATAGTTAGTGGTTCTTTGTATATATATCGTTTTTCTTTGTATACACATAAGAAGCACGTGCGGGATGTACTGTTGAGGGGATGTGATTATTCTGAGAGTTAGTTGGTATATAAATGAGGGCTAGTTAGTTTAAGTTCATTTGGTGAGTGAGTATTTATCAGTCTTTGTTGATTTGCAGGTGAATATATGGCACATAATGATCGAGTGTTTTCAACAGTGCAAGATCCATGTCCAGAGCTGGAGGAGGAGCTCAGTAGGTTGAGTATTGGTTCTGCTAGTGCTTATCCTATGCCAAATTCTTGTCGAAATCGTCCTGCTGAATCTGTAGCTCAATCTCAAGTTACTCATCTGGTGCTGAAGAATGAGATTTGTGATTTGTTTAGGGTTTTATATAAGGAGCGAGAGTGGGGGCTTGTGCTGGACAGCGGATTGGTTGCTGGGAGGAGGTTGCCAATGTTAGAACTTATAGCTTCGAGAATCAAGTTCGATGTAGCCGAGGAACTGTTGTTCATGTCCCGGTCGCCTTCTTTTGACAGCACCGGCAGTAACAATGACTGAGAGAGTATTGTTGAGTTTATGCAGACTTTTGTGTTTAGTAGTGTGTTTAGTAAGTTGAGTGTTAGTTAATGTGTTTGTTAGCGATGTGTTATGTAATTTCACTTGGTTTGGCTCTATTTTTAGTGTACTTGAATAATGCAGTAGTGCTTTGTTTTTATGTATTATTAAATTGAGTAATAAAATAGTGTGAATTTTTGTGAATAAGTGCGAATGAATTGTTTCTTTATTATTAATTGTTTCTTTATTTTTTGCGTTTCCTTTTTTTAGTTTGTGCGTGTACGTGTGTGCAAGTTCTGTATATAATATGGATAAGGTTTGTTTTTGCGTGACGCGTGTGTAGTGCGCAGTGAATTGGTTTGTTTTTTCTTTGTAGAATCTTTGTGATCCTGTGTGCATGTGATTTTGAGCAGAAGCTTTGGAGCTTTGCGGTATTATATAGGTGATATTGTGCTTTATTGTCTATAAGTAGAGTGTGTAGATTTTTTTTCTTATGGTTGAGCATTATCGTTTAGAAATGGATTATAGTCATAATCGTTTTGGGGTGTTACGTGATTTGCATCCAGAGGTTGAAGTTTTGTTTAATAGATTGTCATTAGCTGGTGTTGTAGGGAGTTTGGGTGGATTTGATGGACAGAATGCTTCTTTGGCTGGTTCTGATAGAGCTTCAGCGAATAATATTTTACTGCGGAATGAGATATATGATTTGTTTAAGAAGTTTTATCGTAATTCTAGTAGAGCTGCTGTGTTGGATGAAGTTTTGGGAGATATTGGCGAGTTTCCGTTTCTTCAAATAATTGCTCAGCGTATGGAGCTTGAGGTTGAAGAGCAGAAGAAAGCTGTTAGAAGTGCTATGGTTTAGTGTGTTTATGTTTTGTTTGTTTTGTATATTTGTTTTATTGGCTTTAGTTATTATTTTCTGTAGATGTTGGGAATGTTATCTGTTCAAGTATTTTAGTGTGTTTATGTATCTATTCAAGTATTTGAGTTGAATAAAGAATGTAGATTTTGTACCAGTTTTTATCATAATCATTCCAAGGTTAAGGTTTGTCGGATAAGTAAACTACATAAAACAAAGAGAAAAGGGTAAAGAAGAAACTGAAGGAATTGGGGTAAAATATTCCTGATGCTGATAGAAATCATATGTTCATGTTCTGAAGTTCTTTGTTCGAACTCAGTACTCAAACTAAAAAATATATGTTCAAATTAATAAACAGTTGTTGTTTCCTGCAGTCAAATGGTTTTATGAATAAACTTACGGGATGAAAAAACTGAAGGAATTGGGGTAAAATATTCCTGATGCTGATAGAAATCATATGTTCATGTTCTGAAGTTCTTTGTTCGAACTCGGTACTCAAACTAAAAAATATATGTTCAAATTAATAAACAGTTGTTGTTTCCTGCAGTCAAATGGTTTTATGAATAAACTTACGGCACGAAAAAACAGTAGGAGAAAAATATACAAGACATACTTAGGAATTTAAATGGGAGAGATGAGAAAAAAAAAATAGTAGCCTGCACAGAAGGGGATTTTGTGAAGCTATGGCATGTAGCCTGGATAGAAGTACATTTTATGAACATAGCATCGATGTAATTTACAGAGTTGCTCTTCAAAAAGCATAGCCTACAGTTTTTTGTGATATACATAATATTCAAAAGCGTAGGCAAGCTGAGCGAATGATCTAGTTCAGATCTTTAGCTATCTAGCTGCATCAGCGTTATATACAATATTGGAGATTGCTAATGATCAGATGTTCAAAAGGTGTATCAAAAGTTTAAGTAAGGATATTACATTCTACTGCTCCATATCAGTCACGTCAGTGCGTTGTCTCTTAGTTGGACTTTCTGTAATTTTGAGAGCTGTGAATAACTCACTGTCAAAAGTTGAGTGTTTTGGGACAGCTTCTGCAGTTGATGGTCCTGGAGTCGAGGAAGCGCATGTGGAGGAAGTAGCAATCGATGCTGGGGTTGTAGGAATCTTTGATATGATTTCTGGAGCATTTGCTTTGTGCACTATTATGGCTGTGTATTTTTCTGTGTCCCCGGATCCACGGTTTCCCATCATTTTTTTCACAAAGCAAGTGAGAATGGTGTTTTCAATAGCTTGTTCAATAGCAATGTAGTTGAGTTGGTGCTGTAATATTGATATTTGAGTATTAGTTGATACAATGTGTTGCAGTTCTTATATAACTGGTGGTTAATAAATTTTAGTGCTGGCGATATACTAACCTTGTCTTCAAGTTCTTGAATTTCAAGCAGAGTGAAGGGCAATAGTTGCTCTGCATCATTGTCATATAGATCAAGTGTGAGCATTCCAGAGTAGTCAGCCAGCTCTATGGTTAATCTACATCTGCAATTGGGATTAGATATTAGTGCAGTGATGTGTGGTGGAATAATTTATGATATTGTTGTTTTGTTAGTTACCTTGGAACGACATTCACTTGCTTGTTGCAGGAGGTGCAGACAATTTTCCAGAGTGGTTTTGCTCTGAATGATTTGTGACAGTTTGAGCATGCATTATACCATAGGTGCTGGCTTCTGTCGAGAAATCGTGGAGTTCCTTGAATCCAGTAAGCTTTTTTCTGAGAACAAAATACATTATCAGCTGCTTGATTCTGTGGCAGATATGAGCAGTAGAGAAGTATGGACTTTAGAGTTGTAGAATCTTACCGTTGGGAATTTGAGGAAGTCTGCGATTGTGCAGAGCTCATCTTCTGAGGGTTGTGGTAGGAGTTTTGCTCGATCACAGTATGCCTTTTGTGCAATGAGCTCAGTAATTTGTGACTTGTTTTCCACAGCCCTTATAAGCAGATGGTGATGATTAGCTATTAAACTATTTTAGAGATATTTGTATGACAATAGTTGGTGGGTTTGTATGAGAGCAAGTGGTTACCATTGTTTCAGTGAGGCACCTTGTTGTATAGGAGGGTTAACCAAAATACTTGAGCCAAACTTTGTTGATAGATTCAGAGCTGGAGCATTATGTGTATTAAAAGATGATGGATTGTGTAAAAGATTTAGTTCTAATATTTTGAGATTTACTTACTGTGATAGGATGAGACCTTCACTCGAAGTGCGACAATGAGTGGCATTGATTGAATGATATTTGCAATAGTCTGCCCTTCATCTGTTTCATGCTCACCCCACAAGGTTAGGATGACTGGCATGAAGCTGCAATATAGTTGGTTAGATATTTATGCCGCATTATTGTATATGTATTGAAATGAAGATTGTGTTCTCTGCAAAGCCATTGGCTGATAAATCATGCAAGTTACCTGTTATCTATGATGACAATTTCTCTGGTTGGGGTAGGGCCTCTGTGATTTCGTGGATGAACTTGTGCAACAATGCCAAGGGTATCTGTTTTTGTCATTTATTAGAGGTAAACTAAATAGTAATGTATTGAGTATTATAAAGCTGAATTTAACTCCTGTGCATTACCTATGTCTGAAGTGTCATCAATATGTTGATAGAATCTTCTGAAAGGTGTGAATGTGAAAACAGAGGGAATTTCTGGAGGGCTTGCTTCATCGATTGCTTGGACAATGGTAGAGTTGTCAATATACCAGGTGCATTGATTTTCATGTGCACGGTATTCCAGCGGAGTGTATTCAACTCTTGCATTGGATATCATGTAACGTTTGTACAAGTTGAAGTGGTTGCGGAAGAATTCTATATCTGACTTGTATATCATAGCTTCCACTGTAATTCCCTATACATGAAATTTGGTTTTGATTAGAATGCGAATGGGTACAGTGAGATATAATAATTCTGTGACAGAATTTATTCATGTGTTTACCTGGTTATCAATCAGAGTAAGCTTCTGATAACGATTTCCTGCTTTTGATAGTAGAGGTTTCTGCTTGTCAAGGACTTGGGCTATCGTTGTCCAGTATTGAAGTCTGGGAACGATTTCAGCAAAACCTATCACTTTTCTGTCATCCTGTAATTCAGAAGAGCAAGTAATGGGTAGTTTCTGAGCAGAAATATGAGAACAGAATTCTTAATGTATGCTATAGAACCATATGCGCATGAATGGATAAGAAAGTTATTCATTTGCCAAATCTAATACTTCTCTATATACTACATTATGTGTTATTGAGTCTTCTCCAGTGCTAAATATAGCTGGTTTGATCAGAATTTTTATTGAACTCTTGTTCTTAGCTCTTGACATTGCTACATATAACTGGCCGTGTGAAAAAACTGGTTCACGTAAATATATTCCCACGAAATCTAGAGTCTGCCCTTGAGCTTTATTGATAGTCATAGCGAAGCATGGTCGAATGGGAAATTGTATTCTTTCAAAAGATACTGGCGACTCTGGATCATTTTCTATTCTGAAGCAGATTCTGTGAAGGAAGACTTCCTTGCCAGTGAATTCTCCACAACTTATTGTAGCATATATGACATTGGACTTTAAGGATTTGCAGATGAGCCTTGTTCCATTGCATAGTCCTTGGGGCGGATCTATGTTTCTGAGGAGCATAATTGGAGTGTTTGGCTTGAGAATCAATTTGTGAGGTGGAAATCCATTTGGTGTTAGGGCATTTATGAAGTCCTCCATGATTGTTTGGTCAGAATCTTCAATACATTTGTCTCGGCTAATGTATTCTTGAATGCAACCAGACATATCATGTATCAGCTGCTGATTAATCTGATCAACAAACTCATTTTTTGTTGTGAGTATAGCACAATTTACAGCTGAGAAATCATGATGAGAGAATATTGACAAATCTGGGAATACTGTGGTAGTCAGCTGTTTGATTGAATCTTCATCATTTGTATATCTTATCAGCATTGATGGAGGTATTTGTATGCAGTCGTTGTTGACAGTAGGCTCTGTTCCATTTCCAACACGAAGCAAATATTCAATGAATTCTGGATCATCCCTTGCTCTCATGTTTTCTGTAAGTTGAAGCTTATGAAGGTGTGGCCATATATATGAGTTGACTATGCTGGCATCAATGAATTCTGATTTTGTTCCTTTAGGAACAACTGGTAATACCTGTCGAAAATCTCCTCCGAAAACGATCACTTTAGATCCAAATAAGGCGTTTGAGTCCATTAGATCCTGGAGTAATCTATCAACAGCTTCTATTGAACCTTTATTTATCATCGGAGCTTCATCCCAAATTATAAGGCTGGCTTTTTGCAGAAGTTCTGCTGACGAACTTTGCTTGCTGATTCTGCAATTCTTATTTTTTGTTGTATCTAATGGTATGTTAAATCTTGAGTGAGCTGTTCTCCCACCGGGCAATATTGAAGCTGCTACTCCGCATGATGCTGTAGCCAGTGCAATGAATCCTTTGGATCTTGCCTCAGCTAATAATGCTCGATAAAGGAAAGTTTTTCCGGTTCCACCTGGACCATCAACAAAAAAGCATCCATGTTTCTTTTGGAAGACTGCATGAGTGATTATATCAAAGGCAGTTTTCTGATCATTGTTTAACAGATCAATTTTTTGCAGATCAGACTCTAGCACAGTGATCCTTGTCTCTGCTATTGTGTCCCTCGTGCTCTTGTTCAGATCATTAAAATTCAAAGGATATGGAACCAGAGCATATGAGTTAATATCTCTTCCCATAGATTCAAGAAAATTGTTTATCTGTTCTAGAACCTTGTATCGTGTTTCATCAGTTGATATATCTGGTATTTTTATGAAATCTTCTGATAGACAATGTTCAAATTTCTCCCATAGCTTTCTAGCATTTAATGGAGGAAAGTGTACCAGCAAAGTTGCAAACAGCCTTCTCAATATGTATGGCATTTGATATGAACTGGCTTCTTCAAGGCATTCTTCTTGCGATGTATCTGATTCAAAGTATCCTCTGAGAATTGCTGCTTCACGGAATGTGTTTACGTATGTTCCATTCACTGTCTTGAGGTCTTCAAATGATTTGGGGCCTTTCACATGTGTTAGGAGTAGTCGAAGAAAATAACGTTCTCCTTCTTTTATACCTGCTGTGACAATTCTGCCAATACAGTCCTTTTGCTTTCTAGGTTCCCATTTTTTTCTTCCGGGGTACCAAACGAAGTGCTCTGGGAATTCTTTGTATGTGCACTTAAGATGCTGAGCTAACTCATCCACAGAATTCATGTAAAAGAATTCAGTTAACATAGTTCTTTTTGTATACTTGTTTCTGATTACATCTCGTAGGTCTTGATCAGGTGTGAAACTCATGGACTGACAGTTTTGTAGATGGAGCTGGAGATGAATTACAGAAGGGTGGATCTCACTGAGGTTAAATCTGTACACTCTCCAAATTGCTTCAACTGCACACACCCATCGAGCTGATTGGAAGTCCTTTATTTCATCGATTGGAAGAGGTTGGGAGCTATTATTGTCTTGAGCAAGAGCATCTGAGTTTACTCTGAAATGAATCCTATCATGACCCTTGTATATATATTTGTATATATATTTGACAGCTTTCACAGTGGAACAGATTTCGACATTTATGTGGCAATCAAATTTTGCCAATAAGTATCTGTTGTGTGGAACTATCCATCTGTTATCAAGCTGATGGCCACGAACAGTTATTTTCTGTCCATCATTTCTCCTTCGATAAGTAGGATACGCATTCTTTCCATGAAAGGTTGTCTGAGCAAATGATTTTGGGTAATTATTTATGCATCTTTTCTTCTGATTTCCTTGCATACAAACATTATCTGGATTTTGTGCTTCGCAAGGACCGTGGATCATGTGCTTTCGAACCATTCTGAATAAATGTTGATTTGCTGTTATATCTGGAATTTCTGCACTCACGATTTTATCATAAGATTCCGTGGAATAAAGTTTTGAAGCTGCCTCTAAGATTATGAGGAAATGAGTATGCGGTAGACCACGTTTTTGAAACTCAACAACATAGGTATAAGCTGCTACTGCTCCAAATATTTGTTTCTTGAAGAGTTGGTCCTTCAAAAGATCAAGCTTAGCATGGAAAACTCGAGCGAGTAAGTCTGGTCTGTTATGACCTTCATCAGTAGGTAGCATGTGTTTTTTCACCTCAGGCCATGAAGGATTGCACGTCATAGTGATAAATAAATCTGGTTTGCCGAATTTTTGCACAAGAGCCATAGCATCAACATATCTTCTTCTCATGTCACGAGGACCACCTATGAATGATGCTGGAAGAATAACTCGCTGACCTATTTTGGATCCTTGGCAATGTCCTGAGATGACACTGTCCATTATGCCTTGAGGTTCCTCTCTTCTTATTAACTGTTGGCGGCTTCTGTAATAATCAAGTCTCTGAGATTCTATCTTGATGTACATATCGATGACATATTGTTGAAGTAGTCGGCCGGTATTGAGTATGCCTGGAGTGTATTTTTCTCGCATCTGCAACTTGTATGCGTAATACTCACGCATAGATACAAACTCTTTATTGTTTTCAGGATTGTGAGAAGCTGTAGAACATGTTATTCAATATCAATCTAATGATATAGTAACTGTATAGTGAGGAATATAATTATTGAGTATAATCTTTGCTATACCTTGGTGTTCAGCTGCTATTAGTTCTTCTGCAGATTTGCAATCAGTAGAAGCAAGAGTGCAGTTGGCTGTTCTGTTGTATCTTTTCCTTTTGTTTGGATTATGTGGTGCTGTTCTTTTTATACCAGGATGCCATCCTGTCTCTCCAAATGGAAACAGCAGCGGATACTGCAATGGATCATAGCATCCATAATAGTAGTGCACCAGATGATCCTTGCCTTCTTTAGTATAGATTTGGATATGCCTTTTGTATCCTTCTCCAGATTCTTGGCCCTCTACCCACAAGGCTGCAATTTGAGATGCAGTTGGTTGATTCCAAACCCTCTGGTCATTTTCTGAATGAGACTTTAAGACGATTTGATATGAGTCGAGATTCGGAACATTTTTTAAGCTTCGGAGAAAAGAGGCATATGGATTCGATTCCATGACATGCATAATTTTTTTCACTGCACTTTCTGTTAGGTTCTCTGATGTAGCCAGTCTGTTTTCTAACTCATGCTCTGTATCATGAAAATATAGCTGCAAATAAACAGTCCTGCACTCATGTGGAATAAGATCCTTGATGAAGTGATAGGTTTGTCCCTGGACTTTGAATGTGTAGATACCATTAGTTCTTCTGCATAGGGATCTGTCATAATGTACTCCGAAAGAAGTGAAGGCAAACATATTATTATATGTTCTGACATATGTTCTGAAAGAAAGAGCTTCAGCAGAATGACCAGTATATAGTTCTATCAGAATATCTTGAAGTTTGTTCTCTTGGAGAACTATCTGACCAGCAGAACAGCAGAAATTTGGTGTTTCAGAATAAAGTTTTTTTGCTTCGCAATAGCTGCAATCTGGTTTGGGAGCCAGTATGTCTGGTTCACTGCTGATGCATTTCAGTGCTTCAATTCCATCTGGAACTTTTTCACCTACAGTACAATGAATGTGATAGTAATTGTTGAATACAAAAAAAAGAATGACAAAAAAGTTTTGAATGTATATCATGTTACATTCATAAGAGTTTTTGTTTTTGTACCTCTGGTGTGAGATTTCTGAGTTTTTCCTGACCTTGAACGTTTGTTGCCTGTGTGGATATTAACATAACGTAATTAACTCTAATATACAGAGGTTTAATCTGATGCTCATTAGATAATGAAAATTAATAACCGAGGTTGTATCTGTACCTTTATGTGTTTTAGCAATAGATTTTAAGCATTGTTGGCTCATTTGATATTCTGTTGCAAATGCTAACAATTCTAGAAAGCCAAAGTTGCGCAATCAATGGTATTATAAAGAAAAGAAATGTATGTAGAAGTTGAATACGGATCAGTAGAATCTTGTAGATCTAAAGTTGTAGCAGTGCAGAGTACCTGAAGCATCTTCTATGTTTTGGGGAAGAAATTTGAAGCAGTTCATACACATGAAAGATTCAGCTGTCGACGCAATGCAAATAAATGATAGTGGAAGAGTGAGATGAACATGGTAAAGCATCATATATTGAACAGTATATTTTTGTGCTGAAAGTAATTTGAAAGAATTAAAGAACAAGTTATTTGCAGTAGTTTCAGACCTTTGTCATGCGGTGGGGCACTATCTGAGCATATATGCTTATGGTTGGTGGCTGAAGAATTACCTAAGTTTTAGAAATTTGAGAAAAGCACAGTTATGTAGCTGAAATAAGAATTGTTATAGAACCAATTATATTTACATGAAAATGATAGAAATGAATACCTTCTTCATAAGTAGAAAAGCAGAAGAGACTACTTTTGAGCTTTGATCCAGGGTAGGATACACAGAATCGATCATCTGTGGCATAGAAAAAAGTAAATAGATGATCATATTAAAAAACAAGAAACATATTATTATAATAGTTTTGGGTATCAAGAACAATTTGTAAATGCAAATAACAATTTGTATGTGTATCATGTGGAAGAGAAACAGGATATTTTCAAGCTTAAGTGTGGAGAAACCAGTATGATGCATTTGTAAAGCTAAGAGTAATGAAAAAAATACAAAATATGGAAAACATTGTTACTGTGATATTGATGCAGAGGGGTATTTTGTTGAAGTTTACCAGTGTTAGTCTGATTCTTGGAGCCAGGTAATTGAAGGTTAGAAGTAAGAGTTCCAGTGGCATTTCTATCAGATGTTCGAGGAAGCGTACTTTTATTATATATTCCAACTGCAATTTTTGATGCTTTAAACGTCAATATAAGTATAACAACAGAAATGGAATGTTTAGGAGATAAAAAATGAATAGGAATGCAATAATATGAGAAAAATAGGTGGGTAAAGCTCAAAATACATACCTGTGTCATGAAGATGCTGCTGAATTAGCTGTGGCATCAGCACTCCTGTGTATAGTAATAAATATTTCCATGGTTTCATATTTTTAGTCACAAAAACTACAAACTAAAAATGTTTGTAAGCTTTGTCCTGGAGTATATACGTACCATTATTATCATTATTGGTATTGGATGGTTTGACAAATGGTTTGATGTTGCACTGTTTGGTAGGTTGTACAGATTGTGGATCAAGCGTCTTGGACAACAGTTTGCTCATCTTTCTTCTGTGATACGCTTCTCTATTTTTTCTTCGATGAGCTTCCTTTTGTTCGACAGAAAGACCAGCAAATTTTTCTCTGTTTTTTTTATTTCGCTCATTTTTTTTCTCACGAATTTTGAGATCATGATTTTGTGCATATAACTCAGAGGAATTCATGATGCTTGTTAGTTAATGCAACTGATTTTTATTGTCCATATAAGCATGCAGGGAAGAGAGCATAGTTCGTTGCATGAAATAAGTAAACCATACCAGAGCAGAAACTACAAAAGTGGTTACAAAATACTTTGAATAAACTGAATAAACTTAAGAGTATGTTAAAGGAGCTAGTGAAGGAATACCTCCATCGGTAGTCAAGGCACAGAGTTCTGAAGCAGACCTGTCGCAAGCTAAAAAAAAAATCTGAAGTCACTAAACATAGATCTTTTTATCTATCAATAAGGAAATGAGTAGAACAAAACATCAGAATGATATCAGAAGATACTAAAAAAAAATTTGTGATACAACTAACATTGCAGTACCTGGTGTTTGAGGTATTTAGTTGAAGAGAATTGCTTAGGAGATTCTCATACAATCTGGAAAGCAAACCATATAAAAGACGTTGCATAAAGACCATGTGTATATTTGGTACAGAAGAAAATGCAGTGGTCGACAGCTAAGTAAAGATTAGCATCAGGTCATAATAAAAAGTCCCTTCTGTCCTTTTTCAGATTCATAGCATAGATATTAAGCAGCTAGATATCAGGGTTTGCATCGTAAAATTGAAAAAGTATTTGAGTTCAAATCATGCATATCTATTTCTGTGAGATCACAATTATCTATATCTATGTATTTGCATAAGTTGTACTTCTTCATGCACACGTGTTTGTACATTTTTAACATATATAAAAGTGGGACTTATCTACAATCACACTTATCTATGTACTTATATTTGATTTATATGCATCTACTATATACTTATTATATTGATTAAAGATTATTATTCATATATTGATTAAAGATTATATATATATATTGATTATTATTCACATAGACAAATATATAAACGTATACATAAATTCAATCTAAAATAATAATAATTACTTTTAAGAGTGTTTTTGAAAAAAATTATAAGAATGTTTTTAGAAAGTATTGAAAATAAAATAGTTTGTAGAATATGTTTACAAATATTTTTTTAAAACTTAAAAAAATGGAAACTAATTTTTAGATAATTGCAATGTATAATTGTAATTATCCATGTACTTATTGTATTGATATACAGATAAAAATATATATGAATCGCATTTAAATCAGTTATTTTTGGCAGTGTTTTCAAAAATTTTTGATAGAATATTTTTAAGAAGTATTCAGACATAAATATGTTTAAAAATATTTTTTTAAAATTAAAAAAAAAAATCAAACGAATTTTTAGATAATTGTGATCTATAATTGTAATTATCCATGTACTTATTTTAATATATATAAAAGTGGGACTTATCTACAATCACACTTATCTATGTACTTATATTTGATTTATATGCATCTACTATATACTTGTTATATTGATTAAAGATTATTATTCATATATTGATTAAAGATTATATATATATATTGATTATTATTCACATACACAAATATATAAACGTATACATAAATTCAATCTAAAATAATAATAATTACTTTTAAGAGTGTTTTTGAAAAAAATTATAAGAATGTTTTTAGAAAGTATTGAAAATAAAATAGTTTGTAGAATATGTTTACAAATATTTTTTTAAAACTTAAAAAAATGGAAACTAATTTTTAGATAATTGCAATGTATAATTGTAATTATCCATGTACTTATTGTATTGATATACAGATAAAAATATATATGAATCCCATTTGAATCAGTTATTTTTGGCAGCGTTTTCAAAAATTTTTGATAGAATATTTTTAAGAAGTATTCAGACATAAATATGTTTAAAAATATTTTTTTAAAATTAAAAAAAAAATCAAACGAATTTTTAGATAATTGTGATCTATAATTGTAATTATCCATGTACTTATTTTAATATATATAAAAGTGGGACTTATCTACAATCACACTTATCTATGTACTTATATTTGATTTATATGCATCTACTATATACTTGTTATATTGATTAAAGATTATTATTCATATATTGATTAAAGATTATATATATATTGATTATTATTCACATACACAAATATATAAACGTATACATAAATTCAATCTAAAATAATAATAATTACTTTTAAGAGTGTTTTTGAAAAAAATTATAAGAATGTTTTTAGAAAGTATTGAAAATAAAATAGTTTGTAGAATATGTTTACAAATATTTTTTTAAAACTTAAAAAAATGGAAACTAATTTTTAGATAATTGCAATGTATAATTGTAATTATCCATGTACTTATTAATATATACAAATATATATAAAGAGATATATGAATCCCATTTCAATAAGTTATTTTTGACAGTGTTTTCAAAAATTTGTGATAGAATATATTTTTAAGAAGTATTCAGACATATGAAAATGAAACTTATTTCGCGCGTGATGAATGCCCATTTCAATAAATGTACAAGAGTTTCGAAGCAAAGAGACAAAGTGCTTCTTGAAAGCGTCAGAACAAAAAACAATCCAAATTCGTACGTGCTGATTGCCCAGTTCAATGAATGTACAAGAGTTTGAAGCAAAGAGCAACAGCCGAAAGTACAAGCCGTGGAAGCAGAGTTGCGGTTGAAAAAAGCACCACTGTAGAAAGACAAAGTGCTTCTTATGTATATGTAAGGATATTTATCCTATATATGCTTTTTTTTGTCTATGACATGCTCATCCTGCTTGCCGCTATTTTGTTAGCGTGTGATGGCTGGCTTCTTAGCTTTACACAAATTTGGTTTTGTATCTTACCCGCGCGTATCTGTGGGATGGATCAAGTTGAAGGATGGATATTTCGAGCAACCCAACTTGGGCGAAAACGACCTCCACCAGCATTCTAGTGCTAAATATAATACACCCTCCCCTCCGTCCCAATATTAGAATCAGTTTTTGGAAATTCAACTTTTTGGGAAGACATAATAATTATTATATTTAAATAATGTGGCATTGATAAATTTACATATATATTTTGAATTTAAATATATTCTCTAGATAGAATCGTATTAGAATTTTAAAAAGTTGCTTTTTCAAATGGTAATAAGATTGGAAAGCATATGTTAAATATGAAATGGTGGCTCTTATTTTGGGACATTAATAGAGTGAAACTATGATAATAACAATAGAATAGAAGGAATAATGCACTACTTCTTTTGTAAATCAATCGAGTCTCGGGCGGTTGGGAAAAAGTTTGACAAATGTGAAAAAAAGTGTGAAACATCGATAAGATGTGCAATATCTAATCAAGAAACAAGAAATCAAATACAAAAGCAACTCTACAACTTTAGAATGACGGGCAAGGGGGATCCACTATGCAAGTGCTGTGGAGAAGAACAAGAAACAATTGAACATGCCTTGCTTTAGTGCAGGGCAAGAGAGTGGCCATGGGCAACTTTTCCTATTTCATGGGACGGCATCAAAGCTCATAAGAGGAACTTTTGGAAATGGTGGGAATAGATGCAGGAAGCTAGATCAAGGAATGATGGGATTAAACACGTTGAAATCGCAGCTAACTTCCTCTGGCAAATCTGGAAGGCAAGAAATGAGTTGTATTTTAACCAAGCACTGAAGGAGGGGTACCAAGTGTCCAAAAAAGCGGTAGAGGAATGGATGGAATATGATAAGGCAGGAAGAGATGCTAAGATGGCCAATGAAGAGAGTTCCCGGCCAGAAAACAGACATCGCATGCTAGCTGGACTGATGGATCAGCATAGCTCTATTATGTACACGGATGCTAAGATTGAAAAGTATATGTTAAATTTAAAATGATGGCTCTTATTTTGGAACATCAATAAAGTGAAAATATAACAATAATAATGGAATGGAAGGAATAATACAAAAAAGTGTGACACATCTGTAAAATGTGCATTACCTAATAAAGAAACAAGAAATCAAATACAACAGCAACTCTACAAAATGACCTTACCAACCAACCATATAAATCAAAACCAGGCTGCTAAGTTTTGAGTTTCCCATCATACCTTGAACTCCACTTATTTCAAGATTTTTTTTTTTTTTTTTTGGTTTTGGTTCATATTATAGGCGGATGCGTTTCATTAGAAATTATTATGGAACTAGAACCGATTGGAAACAATATGGACTGCAAAGAGCAATTCATGATAAAGAGATAGACCAATTTGACTTTGACTGGATTAGATTGAGTTCGGGATACAATTTTCAATAAAGAAAAAAAAATCTCGTGTTTTTGTACGTCATTAGTTTAGTGCCTACAACAATAAATATTTATCGTTGTTGTAATGTCTACTTTTTGCTGTACCACTGCACCATGCTGTGGCTATTCCAGAGTTCCTTTTGATCCTTAAATTGCAGATTTCCCTGATTCTTTAGAGAGGACACTGTCACAGATGATACTCGTGAATTGTCACATGAGAGACTAGAGCCCAATGACAATGGAAGAGCATTATTATTGTCACCCAAAGAACGCTGAGGCAGTGGCGCGTCAGGCTACCTCGATGGTGCACATTTATCATTTGCCTTGAATTTAAATACGTTTACCCGTCAGTTTTGATTAATAAACTTGTAGTACCTATACTGGTCAACGAGAAGAAGGTTGAACGCCAACCAGCCAGAAAAAGAAGAGCAGCACGGGTTGAATGTGATCCGGCAGACGATGGAAAGGAAATAATAACAAAATAAAAACAAAACAGATTGCGTCGAAGCCAGGCTTTAGCCAATAACGTCTTATCCAAAAGAAAGGAACAGAAAGAGATAGCAATAGAATGACCACAAAATTGCGACAAATATGTACCCAACAAACAGCAATTTAACCGAAAATAAATACTACATAGGTCGAGATGCTACACAGAAAACGCAATCACGACTATCACTGAAAAGGCTACACAGGTAAAGACGCTAAAGAGAGATGCACCACCGTGATCACTGCCTCGGTTAGGCTCTAAGTTCATATTTCCAGGCACATAAACTAGTCCAGTACCACTCCATTTGAAATGTAACTCTTGGAATTGAACTTCAAGATACACCAAACTCACTCATGAACACCTTATATTAGCCATATAATGACGAGTTTACAGCTCATCTAGAGGCCGACGAAGCCCACTATATATTGCTCTCCGGAACAGAGGATGCACATCTTCTGTCAATACATCAGCATCTAGCTTCTCAATGAAAGACCATATCTGTAAACCACCAAACCGTTACAGCAGAATATTGGACAACATTGATTTCGAGTACAGCAGCAAAAACAACCAAAATTAGTATCGCCTTTCTAAAACAACATATCGAGTAATTGAGGGATAGAACCAGAACATGTTAAGATCAACATATTTTCTTCTCAACTTCTTAAATTTTCGTGCTAAAAATAGATTTCAAAATGAAAGTTGCACTAAATTTTAAAATGCCCTCTTTTTTCATATCGTTGAAGCGCAAAATAAAATTGTTAACATTAGTTTTTTGCTTATGCTTGAACTCTGAAAGAAACAAAAAAGCAACCTGAGGGACAAGAAATCACCTCTGATGCATATTGCCTTGTGATGGCCTTCACGTAACCCAGTGTAGACAAGCACCATTGCTCCCTTTCATCCAGGTTATAGCCGTTACCAGCCCTTCTCCCATTTGAATGACTGAAAATGTCAAAGAAGTCAGAAGAAGATGGAGGCAATCTCCAACTACAAGTTAAATAAG